CACAGCCAGCCCTAGCTTATAGTTGTAGCATTGTGATAGCTCTGATAGTGTAAAGTAAAAAGCAAGGGGAGGTAGGGACATGAGGTGAAGAAGCAGCTCTCATTAAACTGAGGTAGTTGGAAAAACAGACAAGCTTTCCTTGAAGTTTGAAATAAAAGTGTGAATCTCTACATTTTATGCCATGTAAGTGTCTAAAGAGTTGGTGCCTTGTGATGGGGTCCTTCTTTCTCCCACTCGCAGTTGGAGGGGGAAGCTAGACAACAGATAAAACTGAACACTTAACACAGGTGACACCCACCCCTGGCCTCAAGTTGTGAGAGAAGCACATATAGAAGAACGTGCCCACTACTTACATGAAGCTCTAGTTGCTTCCATAGGCCTGCCCAATTTCTGCAGCAAATAAAACTTTTTATGTAGCAGAGGAAAGGAGCCAAGCCAAGCCAAGCCAAACATTTTGCATTAATCAGTGCTGAGTGTCTTCTCTGGAGGATGATTCAGAGCAGGAACCTATCTTAGCTCCTCTGAATTGCTTCTACAGAAGACATTTTCTTTTTGTTGCAATAAGCTTAGGAGCATTAGTGTTACCAGGCTAAAATTAGCCTTTATTAATTCTCCCCTCTGTTGTAAATCCCTTCAAGAAGAAAGCACCTCAGTTTTCAATGCATAACTGCTGGTTCTGTTTACTCACTGGAGGTCCTCAGCCCTAATTTTCATGAGCACAGTGTGCTAAGAGACAACACTGGTAGAATGTCTGGTGTTTGACCTTGTTCCATTTGCATTTTATTAAAAAAAAAACCAAAACACATGTAATTTTCCATGTATTTTTAAAAGAGAGTTAATGCAGCTTAACAGCAATAGTTTTGCCTCTGCAGGTGGGGGAACAAACACACCCTGTACAAATAATGGACTTACCGTTCTTTGGCTTCCACTAAATATGAGTGTGTGGTCTGAGGTCCCAGAGCTGCAGGGATGTTCTGAACTTTTCAGTCAGTGTAGGCCTAAGGGAGCTTTTTTGGATAGGTGGGGAAAAGCTTCTCATTTACTAACGTCAGAGTTTCTGTTAAGAACTTATTTCAGTTTATATGGTGAACAAGTAGGGTGGTGAAAGGTAAGATACAAACATAAAAGTTCTAGAGTCAGATTAGAAGGATTTTATGAAATAGCTCTCATAGGGAGCCAGATTAAATTTCTATGTGTTAAAATATGAAAGTCCATAAACACAAATCTGGGGTTAGTTCTGTATCTTAGTTGTGATCATAGAATCATAGAATCATTAAGGTTGGAAAAGACCTCAAGGATCATCAAGCCCAGCCGTCAACCCACACCACCTAACTCACTAAACCATGTCCCTAAGCACCACATCTACACGTTTCTTGAACACCTCCAGGGATGGTGACTCCACCACTTCCCTGGGCAGCCTGTTCCAATGCCTGATCACTCTTTCGGTGAAGAAATTTTTCCTAATATCTAGCCTAAACCTTCCCTGGAGCAACTTGAGGCCATTTCCTCTTGTCCTATCACTGGTTACTCTAGAGAAGAGGCCAGAACCCACCTCACTACACCCTCCTTTCAGGTAGTTGTAGAGAGTGATAAGGTCTCCTCTCAGCCTCCTCTTCTCTAGACTAAACAACCCCAGCTCCCTCAGGCGCTCCTCATAAGACCTGTGCTCCAGACTCTTCACCAGCTTTGTTGCCCTTCTCTGGACCTGCTCCAGCACCTCAATGTCCTTCTTGTGGTGAGGGGCTCAAAACTGAACACAGTATTCAAAGTGCGGCCTCACCAGTGCTGAGTACAGGGGCACAAATCTTCACGAAAAACAAGATGCTGAAATATTTTGTATGACAGAACTGAATCTTCAGCTCATGATTATAAATCTAAGGTCTGCAGTAACAAGAGGCAGGCTGGAATTAGAACATCTCACACTTTTTATTTATTTATCCTCATAACTTTATCATGATGATGGAAAGTCTGCTCTTGTTAAGAGCATTAACATTTTCCCCATTCCATAGAGGGGAAGAAGATGCATCAAAGTAGATGACCTGAATCAGATGTAAATTTTCCTACATTTGTTGCAGACAATGAAACTAAGTTTCTGGTCTCCTTTCTTGCCTAAATTTTCATTTGTAAATTGCTGTTAAGGGATCAGCTGGGGTGGTTTGTCCACATTTCAAACAAGTTGGAGACAAACTTCAGGAACCTACCCCTACATTGAAGATCACAGTTCAGTGCCATTGCCCATTTAGCCCCTGTTGTCCAACAGTGCTCTCAGCTATTGACAGTACCAGCTGTTGCAGAGCTTTGAGATATCTGTCCAAACTGTCAAAACAATAAAATCCAGAGAATACTTGCCAGCCAGAGTTGTCCAGGGCAGATTCACACCTCAGTATTGGAGAGTATGTATATATGCACGCTTCCTTCCACTCCTTTCATGGATGAAGTAAGCGTATTTGCCAAGCATCTAGTATTTTACCCTAAGCCTAACAGTCCATTTGGCATTTTCTTACAGTAAAAGCACATCTGTTCCAGAGAAAGATACTGCTGTAAAATATGTAAGAAACTAACAGCTTTAATTACTTCATTACAAGCTCACTTGGGTCTTGTAACAGCTAGAGATACAGTAAAAAGAACTAATTAATGACAAGCCTAAATCAAAATAACAGCAAACCAAACCATTCTACTTGATGGTCTGTGGTAGCTAGAGCTGGATGACTTCAGTAAGCTATTTAAGAATGCATATATGCAGGAGGGCATGACCTACAATGATACCTTTTTCTCTAGGTACTGGCCTCATTCTCAAAGTTTGGATCCAGACCTGAGTTCCCTCAAAGCTTAGGCTTTTATTGGGCTCCTTTTAGACACAAGGACTAGTACTGATTGATTTATTTTCTTTTTTTCTTAAATGAGCTCATCAAGGGGATATTTTTCCATGGAAAATATCTTTGTAAAAAACCTTGGATGTTGTAAAAGAAAATAAATCTCAAAAGAATTCAAGCCTAGCCTGACCAGTTTTTATTTTCAAAAGAGATATTTCCATTTTTAACATAGGAAAGGTATCTTGAAGAGCACATCTGAACAGCAAGCTAACTTCTTGCAAAAGAAAAAAGCTCCAGAGAAGCTTCCATGGGCACTAATCATGAAGATCCAATTTCAAAAAAGCCATATGAATCCTTCTCTAAATGACACAAGTGGTAAAAATATTTTTAACGTACAAAGATGTTCTCAATGTGTAAAGACTATACAGTGTCAGCTAGCTTCTGTAGGCCAATAAGCAAGAAAAGGAAAATTCAGCAGCTCATCTGTAAATAAAGCATGTGCCTGTAAAAAGAATAAAGCGTTTTCTTGAATGTAGCCAAAATTCTGCACCGAGAGACCTTCTGCAGAGAAAGCATTCTTCTGTATGGGCTTAATTACACACAGAGATACATAATTTTCTACTATACATAAGTTAAATGCAGTTGATAATAGTGGAACTGTATTGATGCTCATCCATTTCTTTTCTCTCTCCCACATTTTGGAAGAACTGCATAGTATTCTATGCTGTTCGGCATTTTAAGAGCTTTTTAAAAGGTTGAAAAACCTGAGAAAATGAAGTTGAAAATAGAAAAAAGCTGATATTTTATTATTTTATTATATCTCTCGCTTGGTAAGAAATCTGTGATATTTTAAAAAATAACATTCTAAATCATACAAACATTTTACAATTGCAACTTACCATCTGTATTTAAAGAAAAGAACAGCATAAGCCCATCAGAAGGCTAATGTAATTTTAATATACCTCTATGAATGTTCTGTTATTCTAGTCTTCTGCACCATGTTAGGTGCAGAAGGAGGAAGGGCTTTTTTTATGGGTTAGGCTTTAAAGGAGCAAATAAGCAACATGGAGAGTCAAGTCAATAGGTGAGGAGAATTAGATAAGGATATCAATGACACTCACTTGCCTTCTATAAGAGCTTGCTACCTAGTTAAAGTGCCAGCGTAGTGTCTATCATTTCAATATCACAATGTTCACACAGATAAATACACAGAAATAGGCAGCGTTGCATTTACTGCACCCCATTTTTAATAAAAAACATTTCTCATAAACAGATATTTCCAACTCTCACATAGTCTTGTATGAAAACACTTATAATCTTTGCTTTTACACGCACCCATATATAATGAATATACTAGAATTGCATGGCAACACTTAAAAATCTACATAATTTAGAAACTGATATTTTAGTTATCGGAAGTATTTTTTGCAGTGTATCACTCTTGCTGCCTAGTAAGTTAGTTAGTATTCAAATACTATAGAAATAATGCTTCAAACAAAACCAAACAAGTGCCATTTACAAAGGTACAAAATATACAGCAATGTTAACCTCTCATTAAATAAAATATACAGATTAGCTGATGTTCCAAATCATTAGCTAACACCTTATTTTAAGGGATAAACTTCTTCTAGGGGGCTTTTCCTCCCCAGTATAGGAGAATTACACAACAGTTCCTTTCCCTGTATGTTTATGCAATGAGTCATGCTCATTTTAACTGCTGATAACAAAGGACTGGGTTCATCATTCTGCATAGTGAGGGCCAAAAATGATCCCTGGTGAACTGCAGTAAAGTCAATGTGAAACCCTAGAGATCAGTTTCACCTAAGGTATCGCAGCCTACTCATCGAAATACTTAACAGTAATAATGCCAATCATTATCACTGTGGTGGCTGTTAAACCTCCACAAGAATTCTGCAATCTAGCAATCGACGTACCATTAAAATAAAGTGTTGCCAACATACTCGGCGTTTGCTCTGTTGTTAAAATAGCGAGCTATGAAAACTGCCTACTTATTCTTAAACTGATCTCCCTGAAAATAAATGAGTTTTAGAAAAAAAAATAGCATGTTCCCACTTAAACCAGCCATTGTAATTTAACAGTTTGGAATGAATGGTAAGTGCTTGTATGTTAGGTTAGCAAAGAGGTATAACACCAGCTACAATTACAGCAGTGTCGCATCCCTGATGTTCACTCTTGGTCCAGGCGTATATTAACCATGGCAAAGCATCGGCCTATGCTCTGAAAGAAGGGTACGACAAAGACATCTGTCAGGCTCTTCCATATAGTTTGCACTGAAGGCAAGACCATGAGACAGGTTTTCACGAAAGGCACCACAATCCTGTAAAAGAGAAAATGGAAGATTTGAAGATTGCTGCTGCTATAGCACGGGGAATCGGGAAAACCAAACACAAGTGTGAGATCTTATGGAAGAGGAAGTGATTTTATTACTCCAAATCTCTAAGCAAGTTGCTTTTACACTCTCACGTTCATTCTCCATCAATTTTGTTCACTCACAGCCCCACACCTGCACATGCAGAAGCACTGTGATGCGCGTGGTCCTCTGGCCAGGATCATTTGTGTGCAACATAGGGGACAGGAGAGACCAGCTTTCTTTTCATTGTGTCTCTGATTCTTCTTAATCGGCAATGCTGAGTTAACTTTTGGACGTGTCTTTTACAGGGGTGAACTGCTGCTGTTCTCTCCCCGCTGCTGGAAGGGCGGCTGTACGGGGTACACTGCAGCCTCGCTGCTTCCCCCGCTGTGGCTGGAGAGCAGAGTCACCTGCTAGGGACTCCTTTGTGCTGTGGGCACATTCAAGTGTGGGTTTTCGGGTCTCAACAGAAACACCATGTTCCTCAGTTTGATTGACTGGGAACAGTGGTCTTGATGATGTGTTCTTGCTCTGCTGTCTCTTTGGGTGTTTTATCCCTCTCTCTCTCACGCAACGCAAATGCACAGGCACACACACACATCTCCATTTGCATCTCATTCCTACCAATCTAACCTGGCTGTTACAAGGTTCTACAATGAAACAGAAACAGCAAAGCAATATCCAGTTACATGGGATTACTATAGTACAGAGATACGCTGAACCTCAGAAAAATGGGATCTTGCTGATCCTGTAAAGTTTGTCATTTGTGGGTGAGAAACTAACATTGAACAAGGTCAAAACTCCTGGTCAGGGGAAGGAACTTTTTATTCACGTGAAAGTGAATACTTGAAAGTACTGTGCTGTCATCTGCATTCATCTGGGAATGCTCTCCATATGTCCCAATTCCAAAACAATGTCATTAGTGGTGGCTTATGCCAAGCGTACTAACAGAGGCAAACTAGAAGTGTACATATGGGTGGCTCATGAGGGCCAGTGGATACATGATAACTCATCACACTATTTTAAGTTATTCTCCTATTTTAATAATTTACCGGCCAAAATCCCTGGTCATTTAACTAAGATGGATGTTCTTATTTGGGCGCAGACAAATTAAATGTATAAATAATTTATGTAACACTCAAGTGGTTCTAGAGCCAGGTTTTAAAAAAATCTCTGTGCCATATATAACACATTTATTTCCTAAATTAGGTAGAAGAATCTATAGCTACTCTTGATAAAGATAATAAACGCTGTTCTAGCTTGCTGTTGCATTCAAAACTTAAGATTTTAGTCTTGTGTCCACATAACTTCATTGCAGAACTCTCATTAACATTAGTTGGAATGACAGGAAATATTTAATTTACTATTTCATCAGAGGTCTGAAATAATGTGTAAGTATTGTGTATTTACAATGACTACCACTCAGAATAACAAAGTAGAAAAAAGCCTGGCACATTTAAAAAAAGTTGAAGCTTAGCAATGTAAAGAGTCAAAATGAGTTATTTTCAGTGTTTACCTAACTGGACTCTGAGCTTTTATCATACAATGCAAGCCATATACTAGTATGTCTATGCTGCACTCTAAGCTAACCCACATGGATTTAAACAAGAATAGTTTTTTCTAAAACCTTCTCTTCTTTTGTCTCTGCTGAAACAGCTAGTAATATACACACCATATAGAACTGTAAGCACTACTGGAATAATGTGTCTTTAGTTTTAAATTGAAACCTCTAAACTATGTGTTTTATAACCACCTAGAGTATCACTGCATATAGAATATATAATTTCTAGAGAATAAAATTAGGGCTTCAGGTGTTAGAATACAGTTGATAAACATCAGTAATGCAAAGTGAAAAAAATTGGTATTTCTCCAAGCAACACAGGGCAAACAGCAGAAACGGCTAGTCAGCTTGTGTTGACTTCATCCTTTTTCCATTTCAGTTAGTTTATAAAGGCTGTGTCACTGCTCCTTTGCTGCCATCTAAAATTAATTTGGCCTGTTTTTTTTTTTTTTTTTTTAATCTAACTGAATTGCAGAGAAGCAAAAAAGTCGACATTTCTAACGGACTCTCTGTCGACAGGATCACACAAAATACAAATTAAATAAATACCACACTATGCAGAAGTTTCACAGAAAGATGTAGTGAATCATCAGGATGTCATTAGGAAAGGCTGGAAAAGCAGTGATCATATGACTTGCATCTGCTGTAGAGGTCATTCACACAGTACCAGAACTCAACCTCTTTTGATAATGTTAAATATAATAAATATAAAAATGTTTTGGTAACGTTTTATAATCTTTTAACATTTGCTATCCAATTTTATGGTAAACGCATGCAAAAAACAATGTAGACTAACTCCACAGGAGGATATGTGTGTGAACCATGCTAGCAACCAAAGCTAATAAATGTAAACTTTCCATTTTAAAATAAAAATTGGTCTACTCAGATAACAATTACTCAAATACCTTTCCTCAGAGAAGAAAATCCTTTATACCCAAGGGAGGAGTAAAATGTATTTTCTAACTTTTAAATCTGTGAGTGTCTATATATAATTTATCTACATGTATATAAGTACACATCCTGTTCTGCATAGGATAGGTTATCCTACTGTGCAGCATTTCCAAATCATCAGAGCATGTGACATGCCTTCCATGGACTGACCAGGCACACTTAAAAAATAAATAACCAAGTGGCATTAGAAGCTATGTATTTGTTTTTGTGACCTGTCAAATAAACATTAACATATACATCCTTTACTTACAATGCTGTGGGTTTACCCCGGTCTTCAATTCTGTTCACAGAGATAGTAACTGCTTGCTTGAGAAATGTCTAACAGTGGAAGCAAAGTCAGTATATCCCAAGGACATCAACATTTACTGCAATATTGGTACTACTAGTGTTACCATATGGGACAGCACTGGGAAGAAAATCAAAGCTGCATTGAATTTGGCATCTAAGCGGAACCGTAGCCAAGGTATTTCAACTACCTATATGACCTCTCATTGAATCTTGAGTGTATATATATATATAAAATAAAATACCTATCCTTTCACTAAGTAGAAGGAATCACCTCTTTTGGGAACTGTTGAACTAAAAAGAACAAATTACCCCATTTTTTCCATCCTATCCTATCCTATCCTCTCTTCTTTCTGATTAAGCCATGACATCTACAAAACTATACTCACCAATCTTTCTCACTTTTGCTCACATTATTTTTTTCTGCTAATCCCTGAGATAACATTGTTGAGAACCAAACACCTCTTGGAAATGGCAGAGCACAATTTAATTCCCAGTGATAAGGGCATTTTCAGTTCAAAGCAGCTCAACTTTTCACAGAGTTGGGCAATGTGGTTGGAGTAGTCATTCACTATTAATTCAGATTCCTGCTTCAAAGTGAGGAATCACATCTTCTTCTGTAAAGTTTTAAAAAAATGGAACCTCAGACACGTCTTAATGCTATTTTTTATCATTTATATTGGATATTAGGAAAAATTTATTCACTGAAAGGGTTGTCAAGCATTGGAACAGGCTGCCCCGGGAAGCAGTCGAGTCACCATCCCTGGAGGTATTTAAAAGATGTGTAGACGTGGCGCTTAGGGACATGATTTAGTGGTGGACTTGGCAGTGTTAGGTTTATGGTTGGACTCAATGATCTTAAAGGTCTTTTTCAACTTAAATGATTCTATGATTTTCAAATGCTACACCATTCAGTGGTTAAATTACCTAATTCCAAGTATGCACATGTACTACATCATGATTTTGAATTAAAAGTCTTGCATGGCTCTACAATACAAGCAAACACTTGTGAACAGATGGCTAAATACTACTTAGCAGTTGCAGAGCTTCTTGTTGAGTCCCATTAACCCCTGGGATATTCATGAGTGAGGCAACAGATAACCACCAAGGCCTTCCAGGACCCATACACAGCATATGAAGTTAACTAAAACCAAACATTCTATATCCCAGGACCTGGGTAGACTGCGAAAGATAACATTAAAAAGGAAGCAAGAAAGCATCCACCTACTTCCTCTTCAGAAGCCAAGGGATATATACTGGACGTGAATAAAGAAGCACCAAAGCAACACCAGATTATAAGGTGGGTCTTTGTGGCATAGCTGTGCTGTAATTTCTGTTCATTTCAGCCAGCAGGGAGATGGCTTGGGGGTTGACTATGAGAGCAATATAAGTTGTGTAAATAGACCTGTGGAGGAAGAGGCAAGAGATGATGCATGTCTATATCTACTTCTCCGCATGCAAACCCCTGTCTACATCTTAGTGCTGTGAATGGAACTTTAAGCCACGAGTAGCTCTGAGTACCTACTGTTCCAGCTGATGACAAGAGCACAAAGCTGGCTGAGTCCTTTTGCTTTAGAGCCCATCTCAGACTCAAGACCCAAGTTATGGGTCCTCAAATCATAGAATCACAGAATCATTTAGGTTGGAAAAGACCTTTAAGATCATTGAGTCCAACCGTAAACCTAACACTGACAAGTCCACCACTAAACTCTGTCCCTAAGCACCACGTCTACACTTCTTTTAAATACCCCCAGGGATGGTGACTCGACTGCTTCCCTGGGCAGCCTGTTCCAATGCTTGACAACTCTTTCAGTGAATAAATTTTTCCCAATATCCAATTTAAACCTCCCCTGGCACAACTTGAGGCTGTTTCCTCTCGTCCTATCACTTGTTGCTTGGGAGAAGAGACAGTCACCCACCTCGCTACAACCTCCTACAACGAATACACAACATACCAGAACACTATTCACACAAGACTACAACAAAGCATATATGAGATTCAAGTGTTAATTTCCAAGGGGGGACAAACATGTGGCTTGGAACAAGAATCAGTCCCTCACCTATAATAAATATCATGTTTTTGCATGTGCTGCCTGGAAAACCAGCAGTGTTCTCATGTTCAAAAATCAATAACCTTAACAACTTCAATCTAAGGACATGTTTTAAAGCTTGCTAATATTCATGGAAAGATGTTAAAATTCAGTCTGACAAATTCTGCTACGTATAGTCTATGGTGAGAATGACAGCCATCAGTAAAGGAGAAGAAATGTGCAGAAATAGCCTTCCTTGAACTGGCTTGTATGTAGGTCAGCAACTTGCTAGCTGGCACAGTTTCAGCCTGTCAGTATCTTTCTTCAGGCAGTGTAAAACTGGATTCTGGCTCAAGCAGCCAGTTTGAGAACAGGAACAGAATATGCTCCAACTTTATAGGTAAAAATGAAAATTAGAAGTGTTTTATTACATATTTCTTACTCAGCTTTCTTTTTGCTTTCCATGAAGTCTCATATATTTGCTTCCTTCATTAGCAGTCTTTTTGCTGGTGAAAGACAACATTTACTATCAGGTACGAGGGGTAAAACTCACGAGGTGTCCTTGATGCACGAGGAATGCTGAGACAGGCTTCTGTGGATTTTTAGCATGCTGACAAAAGTGCAACAACATGTGTGACAATCAACAGAGCTTTGTGCCTGAGCACTTATAAAAGCAGTTGGAACACCTTTGAGTTTAGCCTTAGGAAAGGCTCCTCTACAACAGATCAACATTATCATCTCACTGGTTTGGATGATGAGAGGCTCAGAGACTGATAAGCCCTCCTGCAGGCAGCCATGTGGGAAGGTGTGCCCGGGGTTTTCCCATGATGTTTCAACAGCTGAAGACAGTTATAATGGAACTCCCTCATTCTCACCCACAAAACAAGGAGTTGCTATTTTTTTCAGACCCAGTGGGGCTACACCGGAGCCAGTACCATGTGTTTAGGGTGCCTCCACTGACTAATGCCTCTGATATGTGTTGCTCCTATGCCACCCTCTCAAATGCAGGAACATTGAACTCCTTACTCCCAAGAAATCTGGAAGATGGAGAGCTGCAGAGAAGTTAATTTAGACTCAGTGGATTCCACCTTTGTGATGGAACAAATCCAGCTTGTGGTTGTGGGAAGATGAGACAGTGCTGGCTTTGGATGGGGCCCAAGGGGGTGCATGTAGTGCTAACAAGTTACATGATCCTTTCACACCCTTCCCAGGTGCAAGGAAGATCAAAATGAAAGATCACT